GCATTTTGCCAGCACATGCCTCCCATTGTAGTTAACGCTGAAACTGGCACAGCTCCGCTAATTGTGGATACATTCTGAATGTCACGGTCACCCTGTACATGTTAATACATGCTTGCTGAATGAATGGCATCGTATTGCAATGGGTGTCTGAGTACTTTGTGTCGGTGTACATTCACAGACATAAGGCGTATTTACTAAGTAACGGCTGTAAAAGCATTAATAAACGTGTAAATAAAATGATACCTTTTCTGTTTTTAAGGTCGCAGCTTCGCATTGCAGGACTGTCCACAAGGAATGAGTTATTCACAAGACAAGCCCTGTATACCAACTCCTGGGATTATAAATAGACCACTGTGAAAATCCTGCTCCTTTCCTCTATTTGCTCCCTCCTACCCCCACACACTCTCTTTCATTGCTTTTTCTTCCTCATTCTGTAGTTTTTTTTCTCTCACCTCGTTTCGTATTTTCTTCAAATTTACAATTCCTTCGCTAGAACTTTCCTGGACTTTTTTTTTGTAGTTCCTAACAATTCCAGTGACCATAAGGTAACGTTTCCTCAAGCCAGCAGATACTGAAAGGGTTAATCCTTCCACTACTTACCTTTTCAGTTTTGCTCGACTTGTTCTTTTTGAAATATTATTGTTCCTTTTGTCAGAGTATTTCTGTTCTTTTTTTTTTCTTTTTTCATTCACTCCACTCTCTGGTTTTGTGCCACTGAAAGACAAGAAACATGACACAGACACATGTAACAGCTGTGATTCTCCCAGACGCAGGAATTCTAAGCATGGCAGAGGCCAAGTAACGCGAATTGAGATGCTGGACAAATTAAAGGGGTGGGGGTTAAACAGTGACTGCTCCTTTTAGTCAGCACATAATCCTTATCAAAAAATAATTAAACAAACTACAAGGACTCTGCACTAGCGTCTGGTGGCTGCAACCTACAACTTTATTAAAACCCTTCAACCTCCTATCAAAATAAAGGTTTATATAGCGCAAACATATTCTGCAGCGCTGCACAATATATCAATGATTCAGTCAAGGCAAATAAAGTTAGTCATATATAGAAACAATATAGAATGTGAAATATGAAAAATAGAGTAAGAAGGTAATAAAGATAAAGACACATCGGAGATAGAGGGAGGTGGGATGGCAGATTAAGGTGTGCAAGAAAAGCGTTAGTGATAAAGGTAGCGTATTAATTGCCTTTACTGGTAGGATGGATTTACTGTGACAGTGGATAAAACTGGCACATACTAAAGGCAAAAGATAAATATCGGCCAATAATAATCAGAAAAAACATTTGAATAAACAACTAAACAAACCAATCAATGTGGGGCATAGATAGACATGAACCAGGACAGACTAGGGTCGAGCAGACACAGTATCATCTGAATGCACCATGCGTATACCATTGTAGGTGTCACTGTCTTTAAATCATGTATGGGTGGAGCATTAGGTGATGAAGAACACACAAAATCCCATCTTCAGACCTTGAAAGAATAGCTCTTATACCAAGAAAAGGCACGATTACCTGGGCCTCAGCTACGCATCCCATTCTACCCTGGGCCTGGAGAACCAAATTATTTGCATAACTTTTGCCATATTGGCCAAAATCACACCTGCAATACGTTGTCCATTCCTATCGAGTGGACTTCGTTCCAGCCACTGAGCATTGAGAGGGTTCTGCTTTATTGATGAACTGTTTATCAAATTGCCAAATGACACAGACCCCACATCAAACCAAACTTTGGTTTTCACAGACTGTAGATAAAACCCATCAGTGCTTCTACAGACAGGCTTGTCTGAATTACGATTATATCCTAAAATGATGTACTGGATCCCAGCTCTATATGTAAAACCAAACAGATAAATGCTGATTCAACTATCAGCCTTCTTTTAGAAATATAGTGGCAGAAAAATAATGTCCTCTTTTGACTTTACTCTTGACTGTATCCTGCCCCTGGAGCCATTTGTATGTGTAATTAAACAAAACCAGACATCTCTGACATTGAAATCAATATCCAGCATCTTCTTTTTGTTATTTCAGAAGCCAGCGTATTCTGCTGACGCTTATTAAAAGATCTAAGTATATATGGCATGATCTTAGACCATAAAAAAAATATTAATCAAAAAATACTAAGACACAGCTCATGTTCAACTCTCACCCCACATATTTCACGTGTTCAAATGTTATTTTATTGAATTGAATAACTTGTAACTCACCTCTTACCTACCTTACGTCCCTTCTGGATAATCTTATATTGGAAAACCACACATCACCTGATATGCAACTAAAGAACTTTAAATGATCTGTCTAACACAGCTAATCTAGCTCTTACAAATATTGCATGTTGACTGATACCACACCTACTATACACATGATTTTCAGTTAGCTCGACTCCACCTTCATCAAATACTTTGTCCGTAGTGTGTCGTAGTTCTTGAACAACACTCCACCATTCACACAAGACTCAAACAGCTCCCTGGGTGACTGTGCTTCTCAGAAACCATATTTCATAACTGGCATGGCAAAGGTTAACCCACACTAAAATGGTCATTGGCAGTGATCCCCCCAAAAAAACTACACTCACCCTTTGATCTTACAGTCCAGATTAGATACACGAGCCTGGATAAAAGTTGGAACAATGTATCCACATCTTTATGCCACAGTATAAAAAATGGATCTATAGAATACTCTTCCATTGTGTTTAGCAAAGTAATACATTAAAGGGACACTGTAGTCACCAAAACAACTTTAGATTATTGAAACAATCTGGGTGTCCCTGCAGTCTCGCTGCTCAATTCTCTAAATTACTTTTGTTTCTGTTTATGCAGCCCAAACCACACTTCCCCTGGCTGTGACTCACACAGTCTACATGAAAAAAAAAAGTTTACATTTTCCAAACAGATGTTAACTTACTTTAGAACTGTTTATCGCAACAGTTTATTGACTTTTAATCACATACAGGAGGCTACTGTAAGGCCTAACAAGCTATAAACATAACAGTAGATGAGAAATTTTAGATTAAACAGAATTTGCTATAAAAGGAAATTAAATATTAGATCTCACTTTACAGGAAATTTTTATGCTGTGTAAGTCACATGCAGGAAGGTGTGGCTGGGGCTGAATAAACAAAGTGACTTAACCCCTATAGACTGTAAGCTCGTTTGAGCAGTGCCTCTTCAATCTATTGTTCCTGTAAGTTTTCTTGTAATTGTCCTATTTATAGTTAAATCCCCCCTCTCATAATATTGTGAAACGCTGCGGAATCTGTTGGCGATATAAATATGGCGATGATAATAATAACAACTACTAAATGGCAGCGAATTGAGTGGCGAGATTGGAGGGGCATGATCTTTACACCAAAACTGCTTCATTAAGCTAAAGTTATTTTGGTGACTATAGTGTCCCTTTAAATAACTCCAGCCTTACTCCTCCCTCCCTGCCCCTACCCATCAATAAAGAAGAAATGTGACACCCAATATATTTTTCTTGGACAGTATTCTTCTGTCTATATTCACTTTTCAGGTAACTTCAAAATTGTTAAAGCAATAAACATCAAATTGTTGTGAATTAAAAAAAAAATAAACTGGAGCACTTCGTCAAGCACATCCGATTTAGTAAAATTCTTCAGCTGGTCTACAATACAGCTTGAATTGTTCACTTTGATTTCCAGTACACTGCAGTTGAGTGTTTAGAGAATAAACCCCAAAGTAATCCCCCCATCTTCCTAACTAGCTCACAGTTACAGACCTTTACATTGAGCTTGATGAGTGACATGACTGCTATTCGGTATCGGCTTGAGAATGATCTGTTACTGTTAAAGAATGTCGGTGTCCATGATAGCTATTCTTGGCAAAACACATAATGGTAACACACTCAGGGACATTGTTTGCGCGAGGCTGACAAGGCCTGGGTATAACGCGGCTGAAGGGAAGCAAGATTTAATGTTTTATGTGTACACAGATTTTGTGAGAGGTAGGTGATCGTGTGTGAAAGGTGACCTACTCCAGAAGAGTTGCCGATAGTTTTATAAAGTGGCCGCTAATCTCACAAAGGCCTTGATTTAATACATGGGTAAACTTTTCAAAAGACTTAATATTTTTGGATAAACAAATGAAATTAATATTAGGTAATATATTTTCTATTTGTAATATTTAATATTTGTTGATATATTGATATACAATATATTTTCTGATATTTTAATATTGTGAAAAAAATATTTAAAAAGCCAAGCCAAAAACATGAAATCATTTGAAAAGTTTATACAAAAATAGTAAATTGAGGTCTAAGCAGCCAATATCATGGATCTAACCCACTGGCTGAAGTCTCAAGAAATAAAAAGGAATTCATTCTTATGTGCAGACATAGTATCTAATAAAATACTTTGCAGTTCTGATCCCTTTAAAAATGTTTAGAATTTGTATTATCTTCATGGAACAACCCACACACTTAAAGCAAACAGTGGAGTTTAACAGGACTTGACATTTTGATACATTAGCCCATTAAGGACACATGACGGAAATATTCTGTCATGATTCCCTTTTATTCCAGAAGTTGTGTCCTTAAGGGGTTAATTGTGGTACATTCCCCTGTCTGTCAGTCAGACAACTAGTCTTGTTACTTCCTGGTTTGGTTAGCTCAGTGGAGCTAAACTCAGGAGGCAGCAAGAGCCCTAAGCACATGCCTTGCAAAGACTTGCATTTTGAAGTCTGATTGGATAGCCACAGGAAATCTGGGTGGGGCTAGAAGGGGAATGCTTGCAAATGCTGCATACAAGAGTTCTGTAGCTTTTGAAAAATATATATTTTAGATAATACCCCCAATGCAAAAATGCATAGTTAAGGCATGCATGTTTTCTTTGGTGTTATGTCTACTAAACAGTGATTTTTAAAAACTTTTTTTTTTGGGTGGGGAGGAGGGTAGTGGCGTGTCACTTTAACCACAACACAGGTTAACCCCTTAAGGACACAACTTCTGGGATAAAAGGGAATAATGACGGAATATTTACGTTGTGTGTCCTTAAGGGGTTAATTCTCCTATTGCATTGCTGTCCATTACAACAGCTTGGTTTGGTTTATGCGCAGTTTCCTGGTGTTTGTGAGCATAGAAACCACAGAAAGGGCTGGTCTGCCTGCACTCAGTATATTACACTCAGGAAAACAAGTCAGATCAGGTCCCTGCAGACACGGCAAGTAATTCTGGATATGTAGAGTTTACTTGGTCTGAATATTCCAAGAATCCTCATTTTCCAGACTATATTCAGTAATACTAGTAGGTTATAAACATATATTCACAATAGGAATGATGGCTTCATGCTCCATAAATCATTTTCCAAAATGATTCTCATATTTATTAATAATGATATCAACATATTTAAATACATTATTTATTACAAATAATATGCTAAACAGGTGTGTTCTAACCCCTTTAAATTATTTACAATATAAATGTACATTGTTTAGCACAGAGGTAAACACAAAACAACAAATTTCAGGCCCAGTGAAGGAGCCAATGGTGGTTACTTGCTCTGCAGTGTTCTTTAAATTCTTCCTTATGCCCCATTTAAACACGTATTAAAGGAATACTCGGAGCACCATAACTACTATTGTAATGGTGACCTACTCATGGTAAGCTGGTAGACCATGTATGTATGCTTTGACATTAACCTGCATCAATGGGGCCCCTTCCAGTCTGCACCGATATGTTATAGCGAAGTTCATACTTCAGCAATATCAATGATCAGGTCTATCAGCTAATAAATAAAGTATAAAATTGTTAAAATGTGATACTGATAGTATGAACTTCAGGTATATTATGTCAGGGCAGACTGGAAGGACCGTGGGCTCCTGACATAAACAGATTGGTGTTAAACCATGCATTAATGGATGGACAGCTTACCGTGGGACATCACCAGAGGACTCCTGGTACCATAACCACTATAGTGCCCAGTAGTGCTCAGGAATTGAACATAGACTTGCAGAGCATCATGGAAGTGGGACAAATGGAGAGACACATGCTGTCTTTCTTTCATTAACTATCTTTGTAACTTTTCCTATAACTGTAAAAGTGTACAGAACTTCCTTCCATTGAGGCGGTTCACCATCAGTTACAAGCTATCTGTATGTCGAGATGGTTCCCCAGTAGCACACTGTCACAGTCCTCCCATTTAATGCTTCCTAGTAATTGTGTCTATAGCTGGGTTATCAGCTATTTTATTCTTATTTTTTCCATTAAACGTTTAATTTGCTACAGTTTGAAGTTGAAATAAATTCCTAGCAGGTGTTAAAGAAACCACCAGATATCTGTAAAATGTGTTGGAGCCCTTATACGGTCTGTGCATTATTGGGCACCAAAGTTAACATGGTTCTTGGTTACATTACAGTGAGAAGAACTGCAACACGATAATGTTTTGGTGCAGGGAATCACAGTGTCTTCGTGGGATATTTTATTATTTCTTGATACATAATATCCCATTTCTTCCTCTCCAGTGCATGTGTCTGTAATGACCGTGCCGTTATAGCTCAAGCAAGTCCACTTCCACTTTCTCAACTGTCCCGATCTGTGGTCACGAATCTCTTTCCAGCTGTGGATGGAATGACAAAGTGACATGAGACAGGGATTATATCTATGCAGGCTATAGCTGCTTTCAACAGGAAGAAAGGTAAGGAATGCAGATAAAAAAAAAAGAGTTGCTAAATAATAATAGTAATAAAATGCTGGAGGACCACTTTTAGACCTGGACCCTGTGCCAGGACATGGTGAGATGACAACTTTAATGGGAGCGGCAAAATTGATCAGTCTTGTTCTAACTAAGAGTATAAAGTAGTTATAGTTGCCAGATACATTTCCCTATTCTTGGATAGTTAGGTTTTTTTTGTTATCTATTACCTTGTGGTTCAATAAACCAATTATTATCTAAATTATTTCATAAACAGAATATTGGAAAGTCAAGTCAACATCTTGGCAAAGCTTGCCTGTTGCGGTTTCCTTTACCGTTGTCTTTTGAACTTGAATTTGTAAATATCAAGATTTCTGTCTAACTAATTGTTTTATTGTTATTTTCAAACATTCTAACAGGTTTTTTTTTTATAGATATTGTGTCGAGTCTCCTTCCTCTACGGAATAAAATTAATACAATATATTGTGATTTTATTACAATAAGCCAAAAAAAATTCTCACAAGTGCAACAGTGCTTTTGCCTACACTGGGCTTGTGATCACTCCAAAGCAGTTGGCCAATCTTAAGCACCAAAACAACTTTAGTTTAATGGAGCAGTTTTCGTGTATAGATACGATGCAATATATATATATTTTTTATTCCACATGCTTATGTTCACATGGTGTCTTGAGAGAAGAGATCTACCTGTAAAAAGGCGTTCTGCTATACTACCTTCTGTGATTTCGTTACACAGTGTTTTCTCTGGGCTTCTTATTTTTGGTAATTTAGGAGAGATATATATTTTATACTCTATGTATGCATACACGTTAAGTCTGCTCTGCACAATAGTTTTGATTCTTTAATTTCTATTTTATCTGTCCAGAACACCTGTCTCACAGTGTTTTGGACTATTGTTGCAAATGTTTCCCAATTGTTCCCTCGCCGGTCCCTTCTACACAGGACACATCAGCTTCAAAAACAATAGAGGGACATAAATATAATGTAGAGGAATAATCATGCAAAGCGGGACAATACAGGTTCCTCCCACATATTCTTGGAAATATATTGGAAATTGTCGGTTCCACATAAAAGTTTACTATCCAAAGTGAGAATTCAAAGTGAATTTCAAATTTAAGGTCAAAATAGCCAAACTGGAAAAATTCTAGTTTTGGCTATTCTGTCCTTAAATGTGAAATTCTGTTTAAATTCTTACTTTGATAACTAAACCTGATGGTGTTTCTTTTTTTAATGAATAACCCTTATGTCTCTGCCGCTAAAATAAACATGATGGCATCTAGTTACTGTGGTTGGACCTACCTCCATCTGGCTGTAGATCCACGTAGTGAACTCTGTGACACGACAGTATACACCAGGCTTCTTGGCTTGCCCACATCCAGTTCCCCAACTTGTCACTCCAGCGATAAACCAAGGTCCAGCATTGTCACTCTGACACACCAGGGGTCCCCCACTGTCCCCCTGAAACACGGTAATAAACACAGCCAGGGTCAGATTTCCATCCCCAATTCTACTAAAATAAATATAAAAGCTGCCCTCGAAAAATGATGTCAGCAATATGGAGTTTAAAGGTTTAGTGGTCAAGGGCTGTGGTCTCCATCCATATTCAAATGGTTGAATATTTACAAATATATATATATATTTTGGTACATATTTGATATATTTTGGATATTTTGATATATATTTTTAAAATTTTATCCAAAATAGTAAATACTTTATAAAGCTTTCTCAAAATATATCTCAGCCTTGGATAAATAATGGTAGAGGTTACTGGTGTGGGTCTCACCTGACACGAGTCTGTGCCTCCTTTCAGATCCCCGGCACACATCATTCTCGGGGTAATCGCTCCATCATAAACATCCGCTGCATTACAAACCTGGGTGCTGATAATTGACACCTCAGCCTCCATCAGGGCTGGCGAAGTGTCATCTGAAATGAAAAGGGGACAGAGTTAACCCGTAAGAAGTAATCGGACCTCCATGATAAAAAAATAATGTGATAGACAGACTCTTAGTTCACCTTTTATTTTTACAATATTTATTTCCCTATATTCTGCATTGTAGAGTGTATATTACAATTATGCCAATACTTATGTGTCACGAACTGTGGCAGCCATTAAATTTTTCAGTATCATTTTGATTTTATATATTTTTTTTCCTGCATCAGCATCTTTTTCTACTGTTAACATGAAGTAGAGGGAAACACGGTCAAGGTTATTCACAATTTTTCGAGGATTATTCCGAATGGCAAAACTTTATGTGGAAACATTCTCCAAATCAGCTTTAGTCACAGCTTGGGCTATTTTTACCCAAGCTTTACCATTTGGAATTAATTTGAGAAAATCCAGGATTTAGTGAATAATTGGTTTCCACCGTGATCACCGATTCATTTGGCACCAAATGACTGCAGGCATGTTACTGGTTACTAAATTGTCTGTAGATAGATTCAGTTTGCTGATCAATTCTATCTGCCCCCCATCATCCCATTTAGCTATTGGCAACCTTTTGTACTCAAGATGTTGTTGACTACATCTTCCATGCGGCTCTTACCACCATAATCACGGGAGATGTAGTCCACAACAAATAGAGTGCTGAACGTTGCCAACCCATGAGCAAAACTAAGTTGTTATGACGCATGAGATGAATTCCTCCATCTCTCCAAACTTTAGGCTTCCAACTCACCTGAAGATACTACTGTTTTACCAAATCCACTGATCCAGCACTTCAAACCTGGGTTAAAGGACTGACCAGTCATGGGGAGGCAGGCCGGCTGGATAGCAGCTGAAATAAATGTTGAAAACAAACATTTATGCATTTTATGCCTCATATTCTCCATTTGTTTTAACTGCTTCTATGAATACTTCTAAACTTTGGTGGATCAACTTCTCACCCAATACCTTTACACATACCACTGTGCAGCACAAACCTTTCCGCTCACATCTCCACACCATGCTCAATGAGCTTATATTTTCCCAAGTAAAGTCATTTTGTTATACCGACAGGTCCGAGATAGCAGCTGCATAAGCGCAAACTTTTTTTTTTTTAGTTGACGTGCTGAGTGCGTGTGTTTCTGCATTTGTTTAATGTCCCTACTGTTTACCAGTTGATACCATTGCTTTTTTTTTTTAAAGTGTGGTAGCATAAATGGTAGCCTTTTTTTTCATATACCATATATATTTATTTATCTTTAAGATTTTGAATTGATTGTTTATTTATACATTATCGTCAGATTGTAGTCTAGGCAACCACGACTCACAAAAAGTAAACTGGTCAGAATATTATTTATTTACCCGAATAGGTGAATGGGTTCCTTAGTTTCATCAGAGCAATGTCATAATCATCAGTGCCCGTATTGTAATTCTCATTTCTAACAATGATTTTGACTGAAGAATAGGTGCGAAGGTCATTCAAATTGATTGCTCCAGCATACACTCTCCACTGGCTCGGGGACGGGTTACTGCAAAAGACACATGTACAGAAAGTAGTTTGAGAGTGCATTTTTTGTCTCCTTGTGTGAATATTTTTGTTATTCTAGGGATAGGTCACTGATCTACAGATGCTC